CATGTTTATATTGCCATAGTCTCTGTGTTATCTAATAAATATTTTTCAAGACTCCTCTGATTCCCATGTTATATTCCTTATTACCTGTCAAAATAGGAGAATCTAAAGGACTTAGTTTCATAAATCAATAGATAGGAACCTTCAGTACTTTTTGGAAGTCATGTTTTCAATCCCATGGCTCTCCAAATTGCTCCTATGTATGCCATACTCACAGAAGGGAAATGGGCCCAGGAAGAAAAGACCATGTAAGCTCATTTAGGGGTGGGGTGGGGTGGGGGTAGGATAGGGGAGCAGTATCCACTGCCATAATACACAATGGGGAATGTTTAGAAATAAAAAGAATAATTACTGATTTTTCATTTTTGTTGCAGTCTTTTTCTATAGAAATTAAGATTTCTCAAATGACTACTTAACTGCATAAAATCATCTGGGGGCTTTGAACACTGCAGATTCCTAGTTCTGACCTCCTAACTTTCTGATTTGGTAAGTACTGAAGAATGCACCATTTTTACATATCTCCTACATGATTCTTCTGTACACTAAAGTTTGAGGATGACAGCAGCCTACAAAAAAAGTCTTTTCCTCTTTTCAGTGCTTCCAGAATGAAATCAACTTTTAATAATAAGAGTTTCTACTATGGTGATCCTTATGCAGTAACAAAGACTATGATCCTTAAAAATATAAAACTACCAAAGTTTTGGCACAGAATCTGCAACTTATTACAACTTAAATTGTCATAGAGAAATACATGTGGTTCACTACACAGATATTTCATTCTGTCTGCTTAAAGATTATCTGTAATTATAATTATCTATATGCTATAGTATTTTTGTATTATATTTATATTTAACCATTTATGGCTTAAATCTTAAATTAGGCCTTTTTATATAGGCAGCACATCTCTTTTAGCAGAAAAATTGTTTACTTTTACACTGTTTAATAAAAATATTTATCATTTGGATACACAATTCTTAGCAGTTTAATGTGTTTTAACTGATGTATGATTTATGTACTAAAAAGGAAAGCCCAGTAAACTATAAAATGGTTAATGTACATACAGCAAATAGAAGAAATTATTGACTATGAAATCAATCCACTGATATAAGCCAACACCTTCACTGAAGAAATTATCATATTTTTTAAAAGAAAAAAATCCTATTTGAAGTGATGACAGTTACCGTATGTGAGTTATAGTAGAGTTATGCATTTAATTTACTGAGATTAAATAATCCTAGAGGGGTAGGGAGAAAAATCATTCTATCAAGAATGGACATTCCATTCCTGCTGCTACAATACAATTTTACTCTTATCATAATGTCATTGCCTGAATCTGGGCAAAATTAATTGAAGAAGCCAACCTATCTCCTTAGACTAATGCTTCCCAAACTTTGGAAAGCACAGGAATCACCGGTATGCTTGTTAAAATGCAGAATTCTAAACTTTATCTCCCAGGGATTCTGATTCAGTATATCTGGAGTTGGGCCAAATAATCCACATATTAAAATGCACCTTAACTGTCTATGATATACAACTGATCTACAGACCCCACTTTTAGAAACACTACCTTAGGCTGAGATGATTTTCTTTTTTAACCCTCCAGGCATGAATCACTAAACTGTACACAAGAAACTAATATTACACTGTATGTTAACTAACTGGAATTTAAATAAAAACTTTTTTAAAAAAGGAAAAATAAATAAATAAAAAGTTATACCAAACAAAAACAAAAACAAAAACAGTCCATTGGATAATTAATACCTGCAGGTGGCCAAAAAGAAGAGCAAATTCCAATTGAGTTCCATCAACCTCTTCTGAAGTTCAGATGAAGAGTCGTATTCTCTTGTTAGATACCTTGCTTCCTTTTTTTTTTTTTTTTTTGAGGCGAGGAGCCCTAGAATTTAATTTGGGATGTCCAAGTCTATTCTTAATCAAGAATAAACAATACTTAAGAATAAACAATACTATTTCTATAACTTTAAAGGAAATATATAAAGAATTCTTCAGTTGATTTCATCATAAGCTTTCCTCTATATCATTTTGTTTGTCTTCTGAATTTGTGCAATATGAAAACAGAAGGCTAGAAAATTGTTAACAATAGAAGAATTTTGATTAAGCGACTGCCTTCAGCTCAGGTCATGATCCTGGAGTCCCGGGATCGAGTCCCGCGTCGGGCTCCCTGCTCCGTGGGGAGTCTGCTTCTCCCTCTGACCCTCCCCCCTCTCACGTGCGTGCGCTCTCTCTCTCTCTCTCTCAAATAAATAAATAAAATCTTTAAAAAAAAATAGAAGGATTTTGGAAAAAAATTCCTTTATTTATTTTACAAGGCTGATAGTTCTGAAGTTTTAATTTTCTAATTTCTTTTAATTCTACTTCAAGAGAAAAAAGTTTGAAATTCATTTTTCTATGAAAGGGCTGAAAGAAACTTACAGTATAATTCCATTTACATGAACCATTCAAAAGCAGTTACAGCATATAGAGTCTAAAGGGCATTACTTGGGGCGCCTGGGTGGCCCAGTTGCCACCCTGCCTTCGGCTCATGTCATGATTCCAGGGTCCTGGGATCAAGCCCCCCATGGAGCCCCCCATGGAGCCCGCATCAGGCTCCCTGCTCAGCGGGAAGCCTGCTTCTCCCTCTCCTGCTCCCCCTGATTGTGTTCCCTCTCTCACTGTGTCTCTCTCTGTCAAATAAATAAAGAAAATATTTTTAAAAAATAAAAGTAAATAAAAATAAAGGGCATTACTTAAAAGCACTCAGCCCTTGCTCTACTAAAAGCAGGTTTTTTTTTTTTTTCTTACCTTGATCTACTTCTATTTTCTATTAACCACTTTAAGTAGTCAGTAGAGTTGAGTGTTATTCTTAGTTTAACCTGCCTGCAAAGACATTTCATTCAGTAAGTACTTATCAAGGAACCACTGTCCACATAAAGTTTTACTAAATGCCTTGGGAGACAGTAAGAAAGAAAGGGAGGGAGCAACTAAAGGAGGAAGAGAGGAAGGGAAGGAGGAAGGAAGGAGAGAGGGAGGGAGGGAGGGGAGACGGAGGAAACAAGGAAGAAAATTTTGGCACGTGTATTGGTTTGTAATCTATCTTGGTTAGCAGTTATATGTATTATCTAGCTCTATATGTACTTAAAGATCTATTCCTCATAAGTCACCTTGACTCAATTTCCTCTGACCATAATCATGATTGGCTAACAGCTGCTTTAGCTTCCCTGCCCTGATTCAGCGTCTGTATTAGTAAGTCTTGATAGCATTTCTTTTGCATGGCATGCCAATAATTATTCTACTAGAACATGTCTAAAAGCTGTTTGGGGATCTACTGTTATCTATCCTTGGCTTATTCCTGGCCAGTTGAAATGTAATCAGCACAATTTATAAGCTCCAGGCCCCCTCGTTTGATAGATATTTATTATAATTTGATGTTAAGAATTTGGTGACATGGCCTACAAAGTTAAAATAATCTCATAATCACTTGGGGCACCTGGGTGGCTCAGTCAGTTAAGTGTCTAACTTTTGATTTCGGCTCAGGTCATGATCTCAGGGTTGTGAGATGGAGCCCTGTGTTTGGCTCTGCACTGGGTGTGGAGCCTGCTTAAGATTTTCTCTCCATCTCTGCCCATTCCCCACGCCTCTCCTCTCTCTCTCCCTCTTAAAAAAATTATCTCATAATCACTGAAGACCTTGGTATGGCTATTACTTTCTGTACTGTATTAGTTTTAAAGCTCATTGCTAAAAATATCTTCCATACTTTTGTCAACTAGTAGTTGACTCAATTTCTTATAATTGTTATCCATGACATATCTGTGTAGTGATACAGTAGATGGACATATTGGTCAATTTTAGATCTAAAAATATTTTGCTTTGTCTTAATTTCCTTAGGGTAGGCTATTCTACTGTCTGTATTAGTTTTCTATTACTACTGTAACAAATTACCATAAACTTAGTGGCTTGAGACAACATAAATGTAATATCTTATATATTTCTATGGTTTAGAGGTCCAATACAGGTCTCATAGGCCTGAAATCAAGGCACTGGCAACACTGTCCCTTTCCAGAGGCTTTAGAATAGAATTCATTTCCTTGTCTTTTCCTGTTTCAGGAAGCCATTTACATTCCTCAGCTCATGGCCCCTTTATTTCATCTTCAAAGCCATACCTCCATTGTCATCTTTACCTTTGACCACAGCCAAGAAAGTTTCTCCACTTTCAAGGATTCATGTGATTAGATTGGGCCCAATTGGATAATACAAGATAATCTTCCCATCTCAAGGTCCTTAACCTTAATCAAACCTGCAATGTCCATTTTGCCACGTAAGATAATACATTCACAGGTTCTGGGATTAGGACATTGACGTCTCTGAGAAGCCACAATTCTGCCTTCTGGGCTGTCAGTCTGTAGGTAAAATGACTGTGACACATGCATTTGATCTGTTATGTATCTCTTCTTTTGTAATTAGAGAACCTTCATAAGCATGTGAATACTTTTCTGTTATATTCTACTATGGCTTCCAAGTACATTGTTTTATCCTTCAGAATACCTACACAGAAAAGACTGTGGGTGAAGATGGAATTTTAATATTATCCTTCTTAGCCCCTTTAGTGATTGGTTTTCTTTGACATGGGATACCATTAATTTTAACACAACTGTCTATGTTATTGCATAGCAGCTTTGTGATTTTAATGAATTTGTTTAGACGTTTGTTTAGTAACTGCCCCAGTTGATGAGGGAAAAATATTTCGTAAGTAACTGATACTATATATTGAGCTCTATTAAGAGTTTCACATTCATTATTTCATTCTCTTTTTACTGAATCCTATGAAATACATCTATTATTCTCATTTTACAGATGAGGAAACTAAACTTTTCAGTGTTACAGAACTAGCAAGTAGCAGAATGGGGCATTCATATATAGGTCTTTCCAATCCCAAAATGTATACCCTTTCCATTATGTTCTATAAACATTTCCACAAACATTATGTTAAATTACATATAGCAGTGTATTATTATTTCCTGCACATCTCATGAATCCTTCCTAATATAGAAATATGACAAATATATTACATAGTAGCCTTGGGTCACTGATTTCTAAAATTTTAGAAATCTATCACTGACATAGTTCAGAAGGATCTAAACAGTAGTTTGCTGGCTAGCAAAAGAAAGCAATGGTAAATATTTTATAAAATCATCTTCTTGAGGTCTTCTAACAGGCCCTTAATAGGGTCTGTAGTGTCCTATTGCTTAGAGATACCTGGAAGACAAAATCATGAAAAATGCTTCATTTAATGTTTACATCACTCCTGGAACATACATGTATTCTTTAAGACCTACTATTATGTTATTCTAAAACTCTTTGTAAGCAGTTTAAATCTTTTTGCTATTTAAGCCAAAATGAAGAGGAGGGTTGACCAAATAGAAAAACTGAATAATAATTCAGTCATCTCTTGGGAGAAAACAAGTTAATCTCTCTGGAACCAGTGGATCATTAGACAACTCTCTACTTCACGTTGGATGTGTAGATTTTCAAAATCCATGAGCATTAAAGAAAACATTTTTAAACTCTTGCACAAAACTGATATAAAGTAAAAATGATCAAGTATATAAAGTTAAGATCAATATTTTAAATTTTTTTTAATTAAAATATTAGCATATCTAAAACGATTTTGCTTTCTAAAGTTCATTAATTATTTTGAAGTTTGGGAAAGGACTCGGAGGCTGCTTAACATTTCTATTTTTTTCATTAAGTGATTATCAACCTTGAAATCTGTCGGTAAATATAAATAAGTATAAAACAGGCAGATTTTCCCTACTAGCAACCTTGATTTGATCTATTTCACGTGATATATGACTATATTGATCTAGGATAACCCAATTCTTTCTTGGAAAAGTTTCCCACCATATAAGTACATTTCATTAAAAAATATCTAGGAACCACAGGATGTACTATGTCTCTTAAGAGTTTTTGTTGTTCATGATAGAATTCTAGACCTATAAAGACTATTTGTTTATTGATCCAATTCAGTTTAGTTCTCTTGTCATTCAGTATCTACTATATCATTCAGTGAGTATCAGCCTATACCGTAGGCTGACATCAACCTTCAGGGTAGTGTCAGCTTTCAGAGCATTTTGTGTGCACTTCCAAAAAGAATTCGAGTAGCAACTCAGATTATTCAATTCCCAGACTTCATTCCCGTGTTAAAATGAAACTTTCCAGATCCCTTAGGGTAGGAGATATAATTTTGTTTGTTCTAATTTTTTTAATTAAATAACTTGGGGCACCTGAGTGGCACAGTCAGTTAAGTGTCCAGATCTTGGTTTCAGCTTAGATCATGATCTCAGGGTTGTGATCTCAGGGTCCTGAGATGGCTCCCCGCATCGACCTCTGCTCAGTGCAGTCTGCTTAAGATTTTTTTCTCCCTCTTTCTCTGCCCCTGCCCTCCACTTGTTTTCTCTCTCTCAAATAAATAATCTTTAAAAAAAATCTTAAATAACTTTCATTGCAGCAGACAGTTCATTAGAGTCCCCAAAACTTCAACTATCTTACCACAGATTTCCTTCACCCGTTTACATTACATAGTCTAACCCTTGCAAGAATTTGAGTTTTATCCCTTGAAGAGTCTAATCACCCTATTTTATAATGAGGAAACTAATGCTCAGGGAGATTAAATGACTTGACCAGGGTTACCCAGCTAGTTAGTAGCACTGAGCCAAACTCAAAATCCAGGAATACTGGTCCTTTGTACAAGACATTGTATTCATTTCACTACCTTTTCTTTCTCTTTGTTAGAACCTAACATTTGCCTGAAATAAGGAGCCTCTGTATTTTTTTTAAGTTTTAAAAACTGTATCATGTCACTTAACAATTTTTATTCATATCTCAAGTTTCAAAATATTAATAGATTAAACACTTTACTACATACTGTTTTGGTGTTTGCACTACTCCCCCACCTTTCCACTGCCTTTTGGCTATTTAGAGAGCTAGTAATGGGAGAAGGGAATTATAAAATTACAAAAGAGAAAAGAATGGTTTAGAGGGGTGAATAAAATCAGGGGGAGAAGGAGTTATCAGAGGGAATAACTGTAGAGGAATAACAAAGTAGAAGGAAAAAGTGAAATAGTGCTTACTGAAGACCAAACATAGTAAGAGTTGAAAAATAAAGACAGCAATGTATCAATCATTGTTCTTTTCAGGGATGTGTTCATTCTGGAAGGTTTTTCCTTAGGCTCATGTAGCCAGCATCAAACAATATTGTGAGTTAGACAAAACTTGTCTTGGACTTCTCTGTATTTTCTTCCATTCAGCCTTTTAAAAATAAAAACACAGTGTTTTTTCTTTTTTTCCTCTGGTCCATCCTAGCCTGAAAACTGGCTCTCATTTGACACCTCAGTTTAAACCTTACTCTCTCCCAAAGTATTTATATTTCAAGTCCTTTTAATTGGTGTGTATAAGAACCTCTCTCAAAGGGATTACTTTAACAGTGAGTAGAGAGGGGAACCCTTCCTAGAGTATCTCTAATTTCAAAACCAACTCTGCCTTTATGTAAGGTACACTTTGTTCATATCCAGCCTAATTTCTTAAGTTCTCAGCATACTCTTTTCCCCTTCTCAAGGCCCTAGGTTAAAGTTTTAGTGGACAAGAAAAGTGTGAGAGAATGTGGGAATATAATGATGATCACCAAGCAAATAGTACATTCTTGCGAAGTTAACTAAGGGAAGTATCAAGATACTGATTCCATATAAGCAATCTAAGTCCTGGCTTATATTCAATTATCTATGTGATGCAAGAGAAAGTTAATTTCTTATCAATTACCTCCAATTCAGAAGGGAAGTGGATCTCGACCAATTCAATGTTTATGAAAAATATCTCATTTCTCTTCATAATTGAAAGAAGCATGAGTAAAATAATCAGAATTTCCATAAATTAGTAAACTGAGGTCTTTAGAAAGTTGACTGCTATAATCAAGATGAATTTCACAATATATTTAAGTAAACCATTATGCTGTACTCCTTAAACTTTTTCAATTGTTTCTCAATAAAACTGGGGTGAGGAGGGAGATCATAAAGATTGGTAGAAAAATTAAAACTTACCCAAACTTCTAGATTCTGGAGCTAGACCTCCTGGTTTCAAATTTGCGTTCTGTCAATTGCCTCAATCCACCTCTGCAGAATAGGAATAATAATACCCACCTCATAGGGTTGCTGTGAGGAGCAAGTTAATATTTTAAAGTGTTTAGAACTGGTCTTGGAACTCTGTAAGTGCTTACTAAATACATACTATAACTGTTATTTCTTTTCTGTCTCTGACAGCAACTAATTAGGTCTACAAAATGGCCTCATAAATCTGATGTATAATTCAAATTAACATTGAACTTACATATTAGGTCCAGTTAACTCATTGCCTTGACTGTGGTGCAAATGAAAAGGTTACTTTACTTTGTTGCGTGGGTACAGGCTTCAACATTCCAAATGTGCATTTTCTTTGAAAGGAAACTGATAGAGGAGTGTGCATGAGGCATCATTTCTCAATTATGCTATAAAATGATAGAATGGTTTTGACTTCAAAGTCTATGACAATTTTTTCACAGCTTTATTGAGATATAATTTATATACTATACAATTCATCCTGTCACCAGTAAGCAACATTAGCGTTCACTGATTGGCTCTTATATCTCAGGCAATAAACACATTGTTTCATTTAATCTTCATAAAAATCCTTTAAGGTAGGTACTAATATCCCTAATTTTATGATTAAACTAAAAGTTAAGTACTTTGCAGCTAGAGGTTGAGCTGAGGATTTAACTGTTGTTCGTATGGCTCCAATACTCTTCCCCTGTCATGCTGCCTCTCCTTGGAAAATTACTTTGCTGTCTTTCAGAGGTTGGCTGGGGAGGGGGGCAGGGAATGTGCCCTTTGATGGCACTCATGGTTAGAGAAACTAATTTTTTTAACCTGTCATAAGAAAAGCCAAATAATACAAGAAATAGCAATAACTGGAAGCTGCTTTCAGACTCTCAAATCAAGGATGACATGATAGTGCAAAATAGTTTTATTATGAAGAAAATAAGCAACTATGATGCTGATACACACATCTTAATGCCAGTATACACTACTTTAATTTGGAAGGGCTCAGTACTTCTTTCTAGCATAATTGCATCCATCTTTATTGCATTCCCACCAAATGAGTTAGAGTAGACAATAAACATGAGGAAACGAGGGATCATGCAGGAATTCTTATCCATTTTTTAGACTTTTCAAATAATTTATATTATCCTAAAGTCAAATTTCTGGACCTCCTCATGCTTGGAAATATTTAAGCAGTTTTGCCACAATTCATCTGAAACAAATATTTAGGTGGTTCTTTCTTCTTTAGGTGGTTCTTATGTTAGGTAGCATGATGCTAGCCACCAGCTGTACAGAGATTTAAAAAGAAGAAAAGAAGAAGAAGAAGAAGAAGAAGAAGAAGAAGAAGAAGAAGAAGAAGAAGAAGA